CCCATGGTCCCCTCCCCCCGCCTCCAGCCACGCCTTCCCCACCCCCTACTTACCAGCATGGAGTCTGGGTTCACTCCCTGCGGCAGCAAGTGGACACTGGCCAAATCTCCGAAGTTCTCCGAATCTTTTCCAAATCAATTCGGAGAGCTTCAAATTGATTCGGACCTTTTCATTGGTCTCCCAATTAGATTCAGAGATTTGGCCACCGAATTGGGTGAATCTCCTCCGAATCAAATCAGCACCCACAGCTTTGCACAGCCCTACCAGCCAGTCCCATTCTCCCTTCCTCACCTCCAGGAGCCAATTAACACCCCTCCCATATATTTTCCTGTCTATTTTACTCTGCCTTTCAGTCTCCAATTCTAGTCTGCCCCCACACAGGGTTGCCCCACATTTCTTCCAAACCCTACAGCCCTGCTGCTTGTTGCTTTTCCATTTGAATTAGTCAGCTTTTTTGCCTGCGGTGTCTCGACCCATGACAAGGCCATTGGGAACACAGAAGTAACAGCCGTTTGGGGCAAGGTTTGGAACCAGTGGAAAACTGCAGCTGTAAGAAGTGCTGTTCAGCTGAAGGTGGGAGTATGCTCAGTGTGGATAGCATCTTTGGAAAATGTTGTTACTTTTAAAATCTGGAGAATTTCACAAGAATGTCAAGGAGTGTCCTTGGCACAAATACTATCATTGTGCCAAATTACAAGTTACTGCTCCAGAGTGTGTGGGGGGCACTGGAGTTTTTCAAACTAGGGTTCACCAGAACTTTGAACATGACATAGGAAAAAAAACAACAGTATATTTTCTCTAACTTTGTTCTCAAAAGTAAGTGAAACGTTTTGCTGAAATTTTGCAAAAAGTTCAATTTGAGGCAAATGCCCAGCATAGAACATTTCAGTCTAAGCTATTAAACAAGTTTTTGCAAGTGAAAGAATTAGCATTACAATGGAAAGCATCAGGCAACCTTCATTACTGGGGATGCTATCAGCCCCACCTATAATGTTAGGAGATTGGTCACAGTTAGCACATCATCCTCCAAACAATGATGAAGAACAAGTATAAAGAGAAGCATAGACATGTTTTAGCTCAAAAACTCTAGTCAAAATCAACCAAAGTCAGTAACTGCAATCTAACAGGTGTCTTTTCTACCAAACAAATGTCCACACCACTATAGCACCAATACTAGCGGTCTCAGTAGGCAACCCAAGAAACTATTAGTAGCATTATTTCTGAATTTGGATTGGAACTGTTCTCTGTATTTGAATTTATTCCAATTTGTAAAATGACTTCCTGCCCAGAGGAGTTTGTTATATGAAATAAAACAATAAATGAAAAGGAGGAAGAGGAAAAATAAAGACCTGTATAGAACCACCATCATGGTTAGATTAATGGCTGACTCTTGCATCGGTGTGTGTCCCATGGATTGGTTCAGGAGGTGTTTTTTTGTCTTGTTCCATGAGTTCAGGAGGTTGTTTTTTGTTTTGTTTTTCCAAGTTTCACATAGAGTTTGGGGAGTCAGTGGGTCTTCCAGAGGCATCTCAATGAGAGGGCACTCGTCTGGTGTGCTAGGGAAGGTTGTGCACATGTAGTTAGTAAAGCAGGAGAAAGTTTAGAGGTGACTGAGGGGGAACCAGAAGAACAAAGTAACATGGCTAGTGTCATTGTCAGAATGAACAGACTGACAAGATTTGGACCTAGAGGGGTAGGATTCTTGTAGGGATTTGGAGGTTTTCACAAGAAGTGTGAGTTTCTTGAGGAGGAAGAAGAATTGGTAAAGGGATTTAGACAGACTGGTGCCTATTCCCATTGGCTAGCGGAGAATGGAGCCTTAGCAATTGTGTGTTTGTATTTGTTTGAAATGCTATGATGTGGGTATTGGAGGTTAATCAGGCAAATACAGTAAATAAGCAAAAACTGTCTTTTTTATTCTAAAAATGGTTTCTTGGAGTCAAGTTTGAAAAATATTGTTGGGAAAAGTTTGTATATTACTGGAGATGAAAAAGCTCTTAGTCTACAAAGCTATCAACCTGGCATCTCTCACAAGCATTAATAGTATTTTTTTTTTTTTTTAAATGAAGGCCGAAAACATAAGTGTTCAGGGCTCAGAAAGGGTGAGAGAATAATAATGGTTTACTATCCTTGCTCTTAGGCACTCTTAAACCTCGTATGCATTTTTTTTTTTTTAGTGTAATTGTATGTCTCCGCATCCCATTGTTCTTTCTTGTCATTCAGGCACTGTGTTTAATATTATTTAATCCATATACTAGACTGAGCACTCCGATACTGCTGTCTACCAACACAGCGGATTTAAGCTTTACAAGAACCCAAATATAAGCCACTTGGTTCCCCACTGTGTGCAGCTGCCTGAAATACATCCCTTAGCGGGGTGATCAGGATATATACTATGTATGAGTTCAGTGAGTTAGTGGTTATTAAACTATCATTATTATTTATAAGGTTATTATTGCTATAATTCCACATGATGGATAAGTTAAAAGTAACATTTTATGTTATTGCAGCAACTCTAATAACCTACATATCATAGTTATATATGGAGAAATAGAGAATAGTTCCCCTTCCTTTCTTCTTTCCTATTCCTCTCTATCCTAAAATTTATAGATTGTCACTACATATCCCGTTTTGACAAACACTAATTTAGTGTGTTTTGTGTCTTGGTTTCATATATCATCTCTTTATTCTCCATTGGTGCCTAATAACATATTCCTTGTACTCCCTGTATCTCAATCCTTTTCTTCTCTGCTTTCCCCTCCTGTTGAATTTTATTTGGATATCTTTGTCTTTATGTAGCAGCATTTCCCTTATTAGCAGCACTAGTATCTGAACAAAATGGAAATAGAAAATGGTGCCAAGTTTGTCATGCTGCATCTAGTGCAAAGGAGCAGCTGTGGAAGTGTGTGAACTGCTTTTAGCACAACTATGAATTGTGGAAAATCCTTTCACGCTCAAGATATAGATCAAGATATATATATATATTGAGAAAAGTGTGCAAACTTTCAATCCACCAGCCCATGTCTGTGTTTGACTATGATGAGAATATGACTTTTTATTTGCCCAGTGCTAATAAAATAATGTATTTATTTAGGCAATATATAATGTTGGAGCAGAGAACTGTGTATTTTAAACCTAAATAATGCCAAGAAGTTTAAGGAGTGAAATGAGAAAAAGCATACTCCAAATTTACCTCTAAAATAAGTTTTTTGTTTTAAAAATAAAATATGTAATTTTCCATTTGATCTTTAAATACCATTCCTGTGTGCAAATTAATAGATTTTCCTACCTTTCACTTAGCAATTGGGCACAGTCAATAAGGAGTAAGTTTCAGTTACTTTTTTCTTTAATAATTTACACTTAAGTAAACAAGTGGATTTCCATTCATACCCTTTTCCCTTTAACCATTCAGTGTTTTTGTCTTCCAGTTTTCATTGCCACAAGATGTTGCAGAGGCTGATAATTTTACCAGGTTGAAAAGAGGATGGAATCAGTTAGTTCAGGATAGGTCCATCAGCAGATAATAAACATGATAGCCACGGGGTGCAACTTTCAAATGAGGACTTCCTAGGCCTCTGAATATTGGAGGCTATTTGGGGAAAAAGGGGAGGGTACCAGATAAGTTTCGGTAGGCCCTGCATATATATGGTTTCCCTTAGCATCCACTCACTGCTATTGTGAGATTGTAGATACTGAGTTTGAGGAGCAGGAGAAAAGTCCTCAGGCCAGATGACCTGGGTTTAGGGGCTGGATCCAGCCCACGGGCTGCATGTTTGACATCCCTGCATTAGAGTTCTTTGCCTCCCCTGGGTTTACAGTGAAGAGACCTGTGCTGCACGTTCATTGCTACACATAAACCTCTGAATTTAGCAGGAAGCATTCTGTGAGCTCAGCAGTGGGCTCTGCTTTCTCCCTCCTAATAGGTCAGGGTCATTGATGGTGGCTTCAGCCCTGGCTCTGCAGTAAAAGTAAACAAATGCCAAAAACAAAAAAAAAGTCTGGGCAAGTGAGAGAAACAACTACAGTATACTGTAAATCGTGTCCACAAAATACAGGTAAATTCATGAGCTTAAAATGCTGTAACTCAGCTGCTCCCACCTCAGTCAGGCAACCAACACACACAGAGGCCAAAAGTGAAGACAGGCTGACTGTGAGTAATGGATTTGTTTACATTGTTATAAAGGCAACAAAGCAGATGATATAAAATGGAAAGGAAACTTAAAGCAAATCTTGAAGTGCAGGAAAGGCCACAACCCATCCCATTCAACCTGCAGTCAGGAACTTCAGACTTCCTGAGTACACACATGCTTTTGTAAAGAAAACTATTGTAGAAAAGGAGTCCCTCTCGCTGCTGCTGGATTTTTTTTTTAAGCAGTCTTGTTTTGTATGTAATCTCACTGTTCATGAAAGGTGCCTTGCTGGTAGCCCTGGAGTTATGAAGCCTTCTATTCACTGGCAGAGCAGGGAAAACAACAGTACAGACTTCCCTACAATACCCTGTTAATGCATCTTGGTCTCTGTCTGGAGGGACAACTTTGTTGTCTTCACTTATTCAGTCCTCAGGCACACTTTCTGAGATTGGCAGCAAGTGAGAGTTAATGCAGGTGGTTGTGTGTGTTGTGTTGTGTCCACTGAAAAGTAGATAGGTACCACTGGAGACAAAATGACCTTTGGTCTTTCTGAATCTGCTCTGCATATAGTGGATAACCTAGAAATGAAATGCTGTGTCTGTAAATCTATGTAGCTCAGAACAGAGGTCCTAAACTAGTTCTGAATGCTGTAGGGCACATACACCCTAGTACACATACATGCACTTGCATTCAACTTGGTGCAAGGGTGCCTTGGTTACCAAAACAGGATCTCTACACGCTAGCTCTGGAACTAGCTTATTAGCTCACGTGCAGCATCTCATTAACATGGTTCTACCACAGAGGTTCTCAACTAGGGTTAAGAACAGAGGTTCTCAATATGAGGTTTCCTCAGGGGTGCCACAACACAGCCATTGCCCCATGCACAGGGCTGCAGCGTGCACACACTTCTGCATTTGGGTTCTCTAAATCTGAAAGCAGGACAGGAAAGCTGGCTTGGGCTGCAGCCCTGCTTGGTCCTTTCTCCTTTTCCTTTACCTCTCCTTCTTCCCTCTCTCCTCTCTTCCTTCTCCCAGAAACAAGTGTACAGGACAGTTCCACACATTTTAACACCTGCTTCTGGGAGGAGCATGGGGTGGCCAGACTGGAAAGGGCTACAGCCCAAGCAGCCAGCCTGCTTTAGGGTTCTCAGAGAGTCCTAATGCAGGAGGAGTGCACATGTGCTGCAGCCTTTCCCAGGCTGGCTGTGGACCAGAGCAGGCAATGGGGGAAAGTCTTTTTTCTGGAGGCACTAATACTTAGTTGAGAAGCATTGAGGTTAATTGTGGCAACAGTAACAATGGCTCTCAACCAGGGGTGCCTCACATTTGAAAAAGTGGTGGAGGTGTGCTCTGCGTCTGAAAGTTGAGAATCAATGTTCTATCACTTGTGGTTCCAGAGCTAGTATGTGCAGAGCTGGTCCACATGAGGATCTAACCCCAAATATTTGTGGCTGGCAAGGGAAACTGTTTAAATTTTGTTCTCTGTTAAATTTTTTTTTTTAAACCCTGGAAGTCACTTTTGAGAGGACAATTTGGCTCTTACTGAATATTTTTGCTTTCGTACAAGAAATATTAGTATAATTTCTTATCTTTGTGAGGCTTAAATCTGGGGTAAGATGCTGATCATTGCCTTGCTTCTTTTTCATAGAGGCTATTCTTAGCTGCCGACCCTCGGTTCCAAAGACTATTACTCCAAGAATAGAATGGAAGAAAAGAGGACCTGGTGGAGTCTCATTTGTCTACTATAATAGTGCATTTACAGGTAGGAGGCTGCAAACCTGAAGATTTATGGGTTAAAATGATGAAACTGCTAAAATGCAGCTTGGTTTCTTTTCTGAATATTAATGACAAACAAACTTTCCAGACTTTCTTTGTGATGAAGAATATCCCTCACCATGTAAGTGGCTTCCTAGACTAATTAAATCTTCAAGAAGAGGAAGCCTGAGAAAATTTATTTTAACTGAGCCTTTGACAATGAGTTTCTTCTTGATTTATAGATTAACTTAACTTTTTAATTTTTTTGGTGTCTTTTGTTTAGGCTTGAAAAAAATGACAATGCAAGTTCCCTGTATCCTTCCAGAAACTGAGCTATATGTCAATAAAGAGGAAATGACCTATTCTTATTGCAGCTTTGCAATCCTCTAGATATACATCTAAAAGATATTTTTAATATAAAGCCAAAGGTTTAGAAATGGCTAGAATACAATTCAACATACAGTTCATGCATACAATTCAACAATACATTTTAAATGCATCCCGTTTTATAGGAGTAGAATCCAAGAATATATGCACATCTTTAAAATAATTTTATCTGGCTTTTAAATTTTGAGGAAGAAATGTGTCTTTATGGCACCACAGACAGTAAATAAAGGTTGGGGAGGAAAATAATAAACCTAGAGCTATTTGGTTTGCAGAACTTACAAGTAGTGCTGGTTTTATTGTTAGACTTGCACGTTCCTGATGTTTTGTCCACGGAAGTGGCAAGCTTGGCAAATAGACATTATAAACTTCGTATGCAATTACATGCAGGTATTAAATGCCCATGTTGCATATTTCATCCCAAATATACTCGGAGCTTTCATATGGCCATATATTTACTAAACCTTTTGTGACTTTTTTTTCCCCTTCTAAGTAGAAGGCAGGGTAGATTTGTACCATATAGACTAACCAAAGTGTGTGTGTGTGCGTGTGTGTAATTTATATATTTAGTGCACAGATTCGTAGGCAGAAGCTCACTTCATTAGATACTGACTTTTTTTCAAGCTAAGCAAAAATTTTAGTCTTTAATGAAAACTGATAATCACAAAGTTCAGATTTTTTATTATGAACTTTTTCTATCTTCTGTTAAAAAATTACTGTAGGGTTTTGTCCTATCTTCCTCTCCCATGTTTTTCCCAGAATTCAAACTTCTGAAAGAATTTTGCCACCTGCAAAAAAAAAAAAAAAAAAAATCTTTCAGTCATCCACTATGGAGAAAATCATCCTGTAAAGCTACATCTTCTATCATGAATATTATATTAAACCTTCTAATTCTAAACTATAGAGAGTTTACGAAGTCCTATAAAAGCATGTTGGAGGTTCACTGTGCTGCCAAAATCAGAAATCTTAGTGTTCCAGCACCTATGTTGCTGGACACTGTGTGCATTTCATAGGTAATTAATTTACCTTATGCTCAATAGGAATAGTCTTCACCTTAGAGTATTTCATTCTGATCCTGAAATTGTATAGTCTATAGCAGCAGCTAACAACCTTTACAAGTTGCAGGTGGGGACAACCCTGCACCGATTTGACGTGGGTTGCCAGGGGAGCTTGGGCAGCACATCAGCAGCTGAGATATGTGCCTGTTTCTGCACCTGAGTCAAGGATCTGGGAGCTGCACCCATGCTGCTGCTGCTGCTTCCCTCCCCATTTCCTCTTACCCTCCTGCCTCTTGTCTGTGGCACAGGCACAACTTCCAGCCCATGGGGAATTGAGCTAAAGTTGGGCAGCTAGAATAATACCTAATATTTTATTTATATGTATAAAAAATAAATATTTATCACTGAAAAGTGAGACGTAAATATTTTCAACCCTCAAAAAGTAATTCCTATCTAAATGTCTTGTGTGGTGTCAAAACTCAGTACCACACTAGAGATGAGACAGATTTATGGGTGATAGGTAGTTGTTGAACAGAATGACTTGTAGATGTTTCCTCTGGCATCTCCAAACCAACACTGGTGGATACCAGGAAGGGTAATGTGTAGGAGATAGACTACTCGAGATATGCCCGGTATGGCACTTCTAATGTTCTTATGTAAAACAAGCTAAAAAATACGTGACACATTTAATTTCTAGAATGGACTTGATCTTTAAGAAATACACTTCTATCTGTCAGATCATCTTTGGGGATTTTTGGTTGGTTGGTTTGTTTTCTTTACTTTTTTTGTTTCCTTTTTTAAAGGTGACCTTAAAGGCCGAGCGGAAATGTTGAATATCGGCATTCGCATTAGAAATGTGACCCGAAAGGATTCTGGAGAATACCGTTGTGAAGTTAGTGCACCAGGCAAACAGGCACAAGATCTGGCAGAGGCTACCATTACTCTCACAGTGTTGGGTAGAATCTTCAATTTCACTGTCTGGGTTTTTGTTGAGAGGGTAGCAGGTAGAGACAACCAGTGTCAATGCCTCCCACTATCAGTGTGGGGTGGGTTTTTCAGGCATTCTCTTTGTTAGCAAAGGAGATTTGTTCATGTTTGCATTTTGTAAATATGAAAATGCTGAATATATAGTTTCTTTGATTGAAAACGTTACTATGAATAAGAAACTAATACTAGTAATAAATATTGTTACTAATTATTCCAGTTGTCAACACTCAGCAAGCATACTAATTCCCATTATGTGGAAAAATTACTTTTATCCAAATTACAGCCTTTCAGTTGTTGATGGTTTAGATAAGTACATCACAGTGTCATCTATTTGTCAGCAGCATTTGTCACCATTATCAGTTTCTCAAACATTTCTCATTTGTTGTTTGGAGATGCCACAATTTCCTCCCTGCATTTAAATAAGTAAACCCTTGACATAACTGTGATACCAGTTGATAAATTTAGACTATTTTTAAAGACAACCTCAGAGCCCTTTCTTTCACTTTCTGTGCCTTTCCCATTAAGAAAAAGTGCAGAGGAAGGAGCAGGTATGTGTATACACATGCATACATTTTTACTCCTCCATCCTCCTCTTCTTTGGGGAGGGAGAGCTTACAAAAAGAAAAAAAAGTGGAAAAGCAGTTTTCTTCTCTCAAAACAACTATTTTTTAAAAATGAATTTTTACATGAAAACTTTTAAAGAGAGAATGAGGGGTTAAAAAAAAAGCTTCAAAAAACACCTACCCTCTTTTGACCAGTCCTCACAACTAATTAATAAAAAGGAATAGACTGAGGAGGAGACACCACTCCTAAAAATATTTCTAGCAAAATTGAACTGAAATTAGAATTTTTTTTTTCAATAAAAAGTTGAAAATTTAAATGGAAAATTCTGATCTCCTTATTCTTTTGATGCACTGCTTCCTGTTTGAAGCTATGTGCTGGTAGATGGAGTAAGGGAGTGAGGGTTTGGAAGCTGATCTAGGACTAGATTTATATGGTAATGAGTGGGGCAGAGCAAGGGAGATGCAGTAGGGCGTTATGGGGCTGAGCGCAAGCTGTTCCTTCCTATCCCTGGCTCCTGGTCTTTTGGCCTTTACAATGAGCACCATTCTTTCTTGGCTGGCCCCCATTCATCCATCTTATTCTTTTTAATATTGAGCAATTTCGACACTCCTTCTATGCTTAAGTAGAAGTTGCAATAGAACTGTGAATGCCACTTGACAATACTTGTACAACTGGAAAAACAAATAATTTTGTTCTTCAGTGGCTTCAGCTACTCCAACATGCGAAGTACCCAGCTCAGCAATGAGTGGAACAGTAGTAGAACTGCGATGCAAAGAAAATGAAGGGTCTCCTGCTTCTGAGTACAAGTGGTTTAAGAATGGTGTCGCTTTAGTGGAAACTTCAGGAACAGGCAGTGCAAAAGCAAACATTACTTATGTCCTAAATAAAAAATCTGGAACCCTGGTAAGATCATTTTGGCTAATTCTTTCCTTGTTATCTAAAAAGAGTTTAGAGGCATTACAATAGTGTATGGGAGGTTCGCTTGAAAACAGGGGCCATATTGAGCTACGTAGAGTAGGAATAACATCACTTGCTTATTACATGACAAGACAAGTAGATGAAATGGATAAAATCCAGTGAGGCTGGATTGAAAGGATGAGGTAGCAATAAACAATCAGCATTATAGTTGTCACTTACCTGAACTGTGCCATTTGTGAATGATCTGGTATCTCTCCACAGAGGTAGGTGTTAAGGAGGCTTTTAATAAGATAAAATGGCAATTAGAGATTTTTTAGAAGGGGCCAATGGGAGAAACAGCTTGTGAATGGAAATAAAAATATCTAGCTGGACCATAAAGGGTTCAGTCCTTTACTAGTGAAATCAGTGGATACAGGAATAGGTACAAAGTGAGCAGAGGCATCATTTCCAGAACATTTGGAAGATGACCAAAACCTATTTTTATTAATGATATCTTCTAAGGTAAGGTTTTAAAAATGGCTAGTAATTTCCAGCTTCATGGGCCCTTCCTCCACCCTGATCTGGCGGCTGTTCCATTTGGTCCAGGACCTGCATTGTGTGCAGCGTGGATCCTGGAGTGGCAGGGACAGGCACTGCATGCAGAGCAGTTTGGCTAGAGGGTCTTGCCCCTCCACTCCAGGTTGGATCACCATATTTGGTGACAGAAAGAAACTTTCCCTATGGTCAAATTGGTATGTGGGGGGTTTTGCTTTCATCTGTAGCAGGGAGCATGGGTCATTTCCTGGGATCTCTTTTTTTATACCAAGATGTAGCTGATCTGGTCCCCCTGCTTTATCTGTGGGAGGTTAGGGTGTTGTGTCAGGGTTGACTGTAGTTTTACTAAGATTATGGATTTTGCTGATCCTGCCTCAGACAGGGAATTGGACTAGGTGACCTTTGGAGGTCACTTCCAGCCCAACTTATCTATGATTCTATGTCAGGGGTGAGCAAAATACGGCCTACGGGCCAGATCCAGCGCACGAGGCCATTCTATCCAGCCTGCAAGGCCTCTAAAAAATGTAGAAAATTAATATTTATCTGCCCTTGGTTCCTGTCAAAAATAACAGGAACCAAGGGCAGTGGACCCAGGGGAAGCCCAGCAGGCTCCCACAGCAGCAGGGCCTGCCTGGCCCTGCCCCCCCAGCTAGGGCTTCTGGCCTGGGACCCGGCCGGCCCCCGCCCCCCCAGCCAGAAGCCCCAGGCTGCCCCGCTTCTGGCCTGGCACCACATGTCTGCCTCGTGCTGGAACCTCAGGGAAGGGGGAAGGGCAGGGGAGGAGCCTGGGCAGGGGATGAGACCAGGGAAAAGCTGAGCACGGCGGGGGGGGAAGTGGCCCCTTGCCCGCTCCCACCTCCCTCCCCCCGTGCTCAGCTTTTCCCCGGGGTCCTTCCCTGCTCCTTCCCGGCAGAGAGGAAGGCAGCCTGTGGCCAGCACTCCCTGCTGCAGCCTCTCACAGCACGTGTGGGGCTGTCAGAGCAGGCACAGGCAGCCCCACACAGACTGC